CTGTGAACCAACTGGTCTGATACGAGTGAGCCACTGAGCACAAAGCGGCCTGTACAAACTTTGCTGAGTTTTATGCGGTGCCCCCACGAAGCCGAACTGCGCCTACTATGTGTGCCTACGCTGAAATGAAGCAGTTAAAGCAATCCATCTTTATTTTGTTGAGTGTTTCCTAAAACTCAGATTGTCAATTGCACGAATGGTAGAGCTGAATTCCATGCGGAATCGTTGTAGAGCAGGTTCAAAATCAGCGAAATCACGAATAACCTGCAAAGAAAAGGTTTTCCAGTCGGCACCAGGGAAGCATTCAAAGAGTTCACAAATTTCTCAGAGCACGCTGTAAAATATAGAAGAAATTGAGTAAACAAATTTTGAGCAATTTTAGCGAATAGGTCCTCGAAAATGGTGGCGACACCTCTTCCCTTTGCGGCGGCGGTCTTGGGGATGTGAAAAGCCACATCCAGTCGTGGCGGTGCACCGAAGTGATAGTTGCAAGTGGGATGACTTACGCTGCATTCGTCCGAGGACCCAATCCACTCAACGTAGCAGTGCTGGCTGCGTCTCAGGGCACTTGTCAACTGCGAATCCTCTCTTCTCCTTCCTTTTTTCTTCCTCCTTCCTTCTTTTCCTTCCTTCCTTCTCTGTTCCCTCCTCCTTTACCTTCTCCCTTCAACTACTGGGCTAGTAGATGCCACGAGAAAATACCCCTGAAGCCTCGCAGCGAGAGCACGTCTGACTGACACAGTACCTCCTAGCTAGTTCACGGCCACAGGCGCAGAGAGACCTAGTCGACTCGAGAATCTTGTGACATGCTGTGAGCTTTTTCTTCTTCTCCCAGGACACCTATGGGATCTAACGAGATTAAATCACGTACCTCAACACTCCTTGTAAATGGATCGTACACGACTGCAAACGGACGCTCGAAAGAACGTGCGTACTCTCTGGAATACGGTATTTTTCACGTTCACAGAAATAGAAACAAAAGCTCGCAGTCTAGTACTACGCGGACGCTGAGGCGTTCCAGTCAGGGAGTGAGGCTGCAGTGGCGCCCGTCTAAACCCTACTAATTGTGGAAGTTGGCAGGCGACCAGTTGGCGGAGTACAGGATAGCGCCGCGCCATTCCCAGCCATAATGAAACGCCCCAGTGTCCGCAGAGAACAAGACGCAAAATAGAGGCAGCATAAGCCCCTACCCCCTGGAGATTCAAACGAAGACATAGTGCCAATTGCATGAGTGAAGCGTTACGTTCTCACAATGTTGGCGCTGCGACAGCGGCTTGCGTTGCGGTGCGTTTCATTTCCACTAAGACAGTAGGGAATACTAGCCGGTTCACATACCGTGCAACATGGATGTAGTGACTCTTCACGTTTTCGCGCGATAGTGCTCTTCAGCAAACAATGAGCGCAGAATCAAAATCCAAGCCAGTCCAGGTCCTTTTCGACACGGCCCTGGACTGTGTGTCCACCGAACGCGGACATTCTGTCGTATCTAGCCCGTGTCAATTAGAAGGCAAGGTGTAGATAGATATTTGGCGTCCCCAGTCCCGCTGTGCATTCTCCATGGTTTCTATATAAATCAGTGGATCCTGTTCACCTGAGCTTCGACAGCGCGTCTTCAATGCTCTGAGCGACGAAGTATAACGGTTGATAGTCGCTGTCCTCATACTTTTGTACGGCTGTGGTGGCCGGGTCGAAATCACGATGTTCTGGTTTGTCACTGAGCAGGCGTGACTGAAACAAGTAAGGGTATTGCTGCATAACGTTTCCTCAGTGGGCCTGACTCCTGACATACAGCTCTCCATAAAAGCTAGAAAGCAAATCCAGCACAATCGCTTTCAAGACTGTCCCCCTTCTCGCACAAACGAACTCATAAGATGGAACCAGTAGACCTGAAAACTCTTGTTTTTTTTTTTTGAAGGGAATGGTAAAAAACCATCGTCGATGAATATAAAAAAAAAAAAAAATAAGAGAAAGAAAAAAAATATTCTCAATTTGTTCGTGAGTAGCACGAAAAAAAAGAAAAGGCTGCATAACAGAACCGATAATCCTGGAAACGTAGTAGGTGTGGCAGTAACATCTCAACATAAACTTATAAAACACGAAAAAGAAATAGAAATACATTTTGCGCCACCCAAAGAGACAAGAAATAGACAAGAAACAACTCTCGCCGTAGGATTGTCCAGAACAAGAAAAAAACAAAAAAATCAATGAATCAAGTCCGGCTCAGGTGAATGATGTGGTTTGCTACCATGTCGTAGGTAGGTGGTGGTCTGTGAAGAACTCGTGTCAGCGTAAAATTACTCCGATTATTGAAATAGGTACGGGACTGCACCACAGTTTTCGATCTGATGCATATACCTGCTTATGATCCCCTGAGACGAGGGTTAAGGCGTGGCACTCAAGCAGTGCAAACAGAACCGGTTACTGGTAGGGGTTATTTATATCTTGAAGACAGACCGCGCATCTTGTGTCCTGCTGGGACAGGACCTTATAGTCCGCATTAGGTCGAAAAACGAAAATATCTCTCCAAAAGCCAACCAACACATACGACGATTAGTTGGAGGTAACGCAGCAACGCACTACCTCATCTCTGGGATTTTTATGAGTTTGAAATGGTTCGGGACTGCACCCAGTTCGTTTGGTGCATATTAAGGTTCAGACTGAATCTGGAGAGGAAATAAATCGACGTGGATAGAATAGTGGAGACCAGCAGGCTCTGTGGTGCCGCAGCGCTAGCTACGTTAGCACGTTGCAGCTTTCTTGCAGTGACCACTCATTAAAATCAGGCAAAGAATGGTGAAGACAACTAACGTAGTTGGGTAGTTGGATGGTTGAGGGGGGCTGGGAGTACGAAGGAGTACGCACTAGGCAAGGGTGTTGCTGCGGCCTGGTTCGTGCGTCAACCCTCCCCCTCCCTTCTCCGTCCATCAAGGTGGAGTCTGCGGAAGCTGGGGGTTTTAGAGTGGCCGGATTTAGTTTGGTCCCAGTCAATCCCTCTCCCCTACTGAAGCGGGGCAAGCAACAGCAAAAGGTGAAGAACTTGGCGCCGAATCCAGCCGTTGACATGCCTGAGCATTCACAGCGATCAAAACGTCAAGGGGCAGTGAACTGATTTCGAGTGCGAGAGCTGTCACAGTTGCGCTTATTGGTCCTTCTACGCTTCTGACCATCCCGAAGAATGGAAGGTTCGCTACTAGACCGACATGTGGTTCAGGACTCTCAGACTATGTGAGGCGTTGTCTCATTTCCGCAAAATACTTACCTGGAACACCCGAAACGCTAGACTGGCCAGAAAATCCCGTGCAGATAGCAAGCCACTACACGGCCGAAGAATGAAACCAGTTTTCTCTGAAAAGTCATCGTTCCGTTGGAAACCGTTTTGCAGCGGAAGACTCTGCTTACTCTGGAGATACTTATTAACGTCTCTTATTTGTGGAATCTTATTCGGCGATAGAACACCTTCGTCTTCCAAAAGTTTGAGATTTTTCCTGAAAAAAAGCTAATTTCAGAGGATTCCCAATATTGGAAGGGGAAAGTGTGTTCGAATATGTGCTCTCAATACGCTTCATGTCAGATTCTTGCGCGATGCGGCGACATCTGCGTGGAGAACCTTGTATGCATCCTTCTTAGACGGGATCCTGAGTTCCAACCCCTCCCCCCCCCCTCACCCAGACCTGTTTGTAACTTTTTGCCAAGAACTGCTTGCTACGAAATTGACAGGCATCATTTCGTGAACAATTCCTTAAAGGTGCAGCCCACGCGGGTAGCATGAGAAGAGCCATCTAATGAACCTTCCACATTCGCCCCTCCCGACGTTAAAGGCACGGTCCGCGATCAGGTATCGAAGTTGAAAATATGGCGTCAGGAGGTTAGAGTGGTCCGCGACGAACAACCTTGTACCGGTTTCGCGGCAAAAAATTCTATGGGAGGGGCGCTGTAGCGCAATATAGGTTCAGTGGCTCCTCCTTTTTTCCAGTGACTCCGCCTCCAGACTCCGATTTGTACGATCGTAGAAATCTTATCGGTGAATCAGCCGTGCATATGAGGGCGTAGTTTTGGAGATAGAGTTGATTGGGCACGTACAAACTGGGATCGAAATGGGGTTCTATCTAGGGCAGGTGGCATGTTTTTGTGCTTTTTTTGTTCACAGTCGAGTTACTCAACCCCTTGTCGTCTATATGGAACCCCCTAATCCACCGTCTGAGATGGCCTG